CACTGCCCCTTGCTCCAGGGGGGCAGAACAGCCCTGTGGAAGCCCAAACCCACTGTGCGGGTGGCAGGCAGGGATGGCCCGGTGCTGGACTCTCCCTCCCTGTGGACCTGGGCACTGCTCCTTCCTGTCTCCCCAGCTCTGGCTGCACACAGCCTGAGGCTGCTGCCTGGAGCCCTTGCCCTAGTCTAGGTCTGGTTCCTCCCATGCTAGTCCTAGAGTCCTCCCCCTGGTCCCTGGCATCCACTGCTTGGCCCACCTTTCCCTGCAGCCCTGCTGCCTCTCCATGGCTGGCCTGTGCCCTGGCCCCCCACACTTTGGTCCCTCCCTGGCTTGCCCTTGACCCTCTAAGCTGCCTGGCAGAGCCCTCCTGGCCCTGAAGACCCAAGTGTCACCTTGTCCTGAAAGCCTTCTCTGGGCTGGGGGCCTCCTCTTTTAACCATGAGCCCCAGAAGGTTGCCCAGTGGATGGGTGGGGTGGGGGTGGGGGGTGCCTCCAACCCTCCCTGGGCATGGGCCAGTGTGAGTGTCCCTGCAGACGGAGCGCCTATCTGCCGAGCAGATCAAGGAGTACAAGGGAGTCTTTGAGATGTTCGACGAGGAGGGCAATGGCGAGGTGAAGACGGCCGAGCTGGAGCGGCTCATGAGCCTGCTGGGCATCAACCCCACCAAGAGCGAGCTGACCTCCATGGCCAAGGACGTGGACAGAGACAGTGAGCTGGGGGGCTTCCATGGCCAAGGATGTAGACCCAGACAGTGAGCTGGGGGTGGAGGATCCCATGGCCAAGGACATGGACCCAGACAGTGAGAGGAGGACCTCCATGGCCAAGGACATGGACTGAGACAGTGAAGGGGGGTGCTCCATGGCCAAGGATGTGGACCCAGACAGTGAACAGGGGTGGGTCTCCATGGACAAGGATATGGACCCGTTAGCTGGGGCTGGGGGGGGCGCTCCGTGGCAAAGACATGGATCCAGACAGTGAGCTGGAAGTGAGGGGGGATTCCATGGCCAAGGACGTGAACTGAAACATTGAGCTGGGTTGGGGGGCTCCATGGCCAAGGACGTGGATCCAGACCGTGAGCAGGGGAGAGGCCCCCATGGCCAAAGATGTGGACCCAGGCAGTGAGCTGGGGGCCTCCACGGCCAAGGACATGGACCGAGTCAGTGAGCTCAGGGGATGGGTGGGCCCCCATGGTCAAGGATGTGGATGGGGACAGTGAGCTAGCCAGGAGAGGGTGGGCAGGCCTTGGTGGCCAGGATGCGGACTGAGACAGTGAGCTGGTCAGGCAAGCAGGCGGGTCTCAGTGCACTGAGATGTGGACCATGACAGTGAGCTGGCCAGGGAGGATGGGTGGGTCTCAGAGGCCAGGACGTTGACCAAGACAGTGAGCTGGCCAGGCAGGGCAGGTGGGCTTCAGATGCTCCCCTGGGCCGGGATTCCTGTGTGTGGGAACAGGGAAGAGGCAGAGCTCACAGGTGGGGGATATGCCTGAACCTCACCTGAGCAGGTGGCCACCACTCCTTGCAGACAAGGGCTTCTTCAACTGCGACGGCTTCTTGGCACTGATGGGGATTTATCACGAGAAGGCCCAGAACCAGGAGGGCGAGCTGAGGGCAGCGTTCCGGGTCTTCGATAAGGAGGGCAAGGGCTACATCGACTGGAACACACTCAAGTAGGCGGGGCAAGGCTTGGGTGGTGGGAGGGGTGGGGTCAGAGCAGTGGAGGGGCGGGGCCGGGAACCAGTGCTCAGGGCGAGATCGGGCAGGTACGTGCTCATGAATGCTGGGGAGCCCCTC